TTGTTGGCCACAAAGGAGATCTCTGATGATGTGGGTAACTCCCCCACATCCTCGTCAGGGAAGAGCGATGCAAAGAAACAATTTACCTTCTCTGTAATGGCTTTGTCCTGCTTGGGTGTTCCTTTAACATCTTGGTCGTCTAGTGGTAGGGTGACCAGATGTCCCGACTTTATAGGGACACTCCTGATTTTTGGGTCTTTTTCTTATATAGGCTCCTATTACCTCTCACCCCCTGTCCCGATTTTTCACACTTGCTGTCTGGTCACCCTATCTAGTGGCCCCACTGCCTGTGTGCTGGGCTTTCTGCTTCTGATGTACTTAAAAAAAAATTGGTATGGTTAGCTTTTGCGTCTCAAGTTGCTTCTCAAATTCCTTCTTGGCCTGCCTTGTACTTTTACACGTAACCTGCTGGAGTTCGTGCACCTTCCTGTTAGCCTCGCTGGGATTTGATGTCCAAATTTTAAAGGGGGCCTTTTTGCCTCCAGTGGCCTCTGTTACTCAGTTGCTTCGCCGTGGTTGCATGGCATTCGTTTGGTCCTTTTACTGTTTGTTCTGATTCAGGAGGCGCTTCTGTTATGGTGGTTTTAAGGAGCCCTCATGCTGCTTGCAGGCATTTAACCCTAATGCCAGCTCCACACGGGTCAGGGAAGCCACCTGTGTATGGGGGATTCTTGGGGTGCCTCTTCCACCCACTTTAAGGCCCCTGTGTCTGCCGGAGGGGTCCTACCATCACTGAGGATGAAGCCGCCCCCCCAACTCCCGTCACTCTCCATTTGTGGCTCGGGACCAGTGCAGAACAATGGGAATAATTTAAACCTCCCTGGGGCCTTGTTTCTCAGCCAACGGCTCCAGGGCAGAGTAACCTAGTTTCTGTGTGACAAGGAGCTTTCTGTCCCGGCCGAATAGCGAATGCAGGGGTCCCCCCCCTCCTTCCCAGAGTTCAGACAATGCGCTCAACCACACACGTCCCTGCGATCGGCTCCTCAAAGGGGAAAGCTGGCCCACAGCCGTTCTCATGTCAAAGCCAGCTAGGACTATATGCCCCTTTCCTGGAACCTCTCCCCAAAGCTCCGTGCCTAACGAGCTGCTGCCAGTTGGCTAAGGCAGGTGAGCAAGGTGCCTTGATCCTCAGTCATTTCCTTCTGATCAGTGAAGGGCATTTCCCATTCAGGGCAACAAAAGGCTGAGCAGTGCAGTGTATAAAAATGAGGTAGTATCCCTTTAAATAGTGTGTGAGCCCCATAGTGGCGCTCACCGTGTTCTGTGCGCTAGAACCCAGCTGGTATGCAAAACTATTTTAAAGAGACACGAACCAATTCTGATACACCACATGCAGAAGGGGAACAGCCCGCTTGTTCCCGCTCTGGACGGATGATCCGAGGTGGAAGCATCAGGTCATTCCCTGCAGACCCGATGCCGCGGAGAGGCAGTTCATCAGGGAAATGGCTTGGATCTATAGCACCACGGGGAAATGGCCAGGAACGGGCAGCTCCAAACAGTTTTGGCGGGATAGGGGCTGAAGGTGAAGTGCGGTGCCTTCATGGCTAAGGGAGAACAGGGATGGATAAAGAGGAACAAACAGCTGCCCTCTACGCTAATAATGCTGATTGTACTTTGCAAGTGGGAGGATCTAAAAGTGCTGCCTAAGGGTGAGAATTCTCCCCCATTTTATTAGGGGAAACTGAGGCACTAAGCATTTTTAATGTGGTCTAGTGCTTGGAGCAGAGGATTGGGAATCCGGACTCCTCACTTTCCTTGTGGTTAGAGCAGGGAGGATGGGCGTAAGGGATCCTGGGTTGTAGCTTTGGCTCTGGGAAGGGAGTGGGGTCTAGTGGTTACAGCAGGGAGCTGGGACTCAAGACTCCAGGCTTCTACCCCTGCCTCTGGCAGGGGAAAGGCATGAGAATCAGGATTCCTGGGTTCCATCCCCAACTCTGCTACTGACTCACTGTGTCGCCATGACCACGTCCCCACCTCCATCCAGGCACGAGTGTGGAACACTGGTGAAAAAAGAGTTCGAATGGGCGGAATGAAAGTTCAAGGTGTTGGCTGGGATTGATTTGATCCTGGGTGCAGCTTGCAACAGTCTCCCAAGACAAGGACTAGGAGTTTGTGCTGCCAAAAGATAAGGAGCGAAATCCTGGCTGCCTGGAAGTCAGCGGGAGTTTTGGAACAGTGCCGGAATCCCACCCGGGGCGTCTCCCGACCTGAACGTTCTCAGATCAAACACGACTTTTTGCACCTTTCCCACCAAAAACCCACCGAGTCTTGTTAAAAGGCCCTTACGGGGTTTGAGTAGCCTAATGCTGGCTTCCAGGAGCCTGCTGCCTGCCTCCATTTCCCCGCCTGTGCATTGCAATGCTAAGACGTGTCTCCCACACACAGATGTTGAGAAACTTGCTGACTTTGTGGAAAGGGCTCTGAGGCCCTGAAATGACAGAGGCCAGAGAATGGCCAGGGATCATTATGGGTGTTGGGAAAGTAATGATGCTTTACAGCTTCTAACTGAGCCCTTTTGAGAGGTTGGATGATCCCCATTTTATTCCTGGGGAAACTGAGGCACGGAGCGGTGACATGACTATCCCCTGGCCACACAGCAGCAGACTGGCCAAGCCAGGCAAAGAACCTAGGAGTCCTGCCTTTCAGTCCCCTGCCTAAACCACAATGTTATGCTTATTATGCAAGAAAATCCACGTTCTGGGTGTGTTTTGCTAGACTAAGATGGTTCTTCCCATGGGTCTCAAGAGAGAGGGCCTGGTTCTCATTTACACTGGCTATTACTAGTAAAAAAATCTGTGTCTAGAGGAGACCTAAGATCTGAAAACCAAAATATTTCAAGTTGGAAATGTTGTCGCAGTTGTATTTCAGTGGCCTCGTATCCTCTATTCTTCTTTATGGGGTGTGCTCCCTGGCTAGACTACATCTCCTCTAATGCACCAGGGCCAGGGGCTCCCACGATAAACCCCCTCCCCTCTCCAAGAGGGGGACACTGTGATGCATCATGGGAGATGTAGTCCAACCGGGGAGCCTGGCCTATAAAGGAGAGTGGGAGCATGCGGCAGCTGGACTACGACCCCCATGAGGAGCTACAGCAGCGTTGCCAAATCAGCGTTTTTTTAGGATTTAAATATCTGCTGAAAATTGACTCCCTCCCCCCCTTGTGGGGAAAAAAATTCCCAATTGTTTTCATTCAGCTCTAGCGAAGGAGCCTTAATGCCAATAAGAATCAGGCCCAGAATTGGTCTCGATCGAACAGTCATGCCAAGGCTGCAGAGGCACGGAGTGCCATAGGCTGGGGCTGGAGGCCTTAGCTGGCCACACCCACTGCTGGGCAGGTGTCCAACCCGTGATTTATTTCTACAGGGTGGTTTTCCACCCTTCTGCTCTCTAGCCCTTTCTCCAGTTTCTTCTTCCTGTTTAATTTGCAGCTGATGACAGATCCAGCTGTTGCAGCACACGCCTCAGCTGGATCAGCTGGGCGAATAGACAGGTTCACTCCAAATCACACCCACACACCTGGATGCTCTCCCAGGGCCCTAGGTTGCAGCAGAGGCGCTGTAGATATCTGGGGAAGTGCTGCAAAGGAGCTCTGATCAGGGTAACAGCGGGGCACTGCTGGGCAGGGCAAGATCCCGCTGGCCCAAGCAGTGTCTCTGCCTCCTCCGTCACAGACCGAGCACCCGGATCAGCGCAGCTAACTCATTGAAACCCAGTTCTTGGGAAAAGGGCGGTTCCATTTTATGGCTTCTTGCAGCTCGCCAGCAATGGCTGAGTGGAAAGGGAGTGAGGTCCGGGAGCCAGGACTCCTGGGTCCTGTTCCCAGCTCTGGGGAGAATGTGATCTAGCGGTTAGAGTGGATGAGGACTCCTGACTTCTGTGTCCTGTTCTGGGGAGGCATGCTTAGCCAAGCAACAGAAAGTCGGGACAGCTGGGTTCTCTTCTAGTCTCTGGGAGAGTCTTGTCTAGTGGTTAGAGTTTGGAGGACCAGTAGCCTGCCCACCTGGCTTCTAGTCCCAGCTCCTCTTTTGACTCTCTGTGTGACTTTGAGTGGGTCGAGGCGCGGCTCTGTGCCTCAGTTTCCCTATCTGTAAAATGGAGCTAATGATCCCTGCCTTGAGAACTGCTGAGGGTTGTCAGCTAGCAGTGCCTTTTTGGGAAAGGCCAGCAGCAACCCCCCTGGTGCAGCTCTCCCTGGGTTCAGCATGCTCCTGGTAAAGGCTTTGGGTGGGAGATGAGTTCAACTCCAGATGTGCGTAGACAGACAGCTTGTAAATAACAGTGTACTTGAAAGTGCGTGGCGGAGAATTGGGAGGGGCCTGGGCTTATGCGCTGGCCTGTTAGTGTTAATACAATGGTCGTAATTAACCATAAATACTTCCGGGTAGCGCGTCTCTGAGCCTCGCAGTAGTCGGCTCACCCAGGGTGAGGGATTTTGTTACTTTGGATGGGCGAGTAACATTTCCCATCATCGTGTCTAAGGCCAGGTCTGTCCCCGGGGCTGCTGCCGAGAAGGGAGTCCAGGAGCTGCTAGTGCCACTCTAACCACTAGACAACATTCCCCTCCCAAAGTCAGGAATAGAACCCAGGGGTTCTGACTCCCAATGCCCCCCCCAGCTCTAACCACTAGACCCCACTCCCCATCCCAGAGTCAGGCATAGAACCCAGGCGTCCTGACTCCCAGTTCCCCCCGCTTTAACTTCTAGCCCACATTTTCTCCCAGAGCTGGGAATAGAACCCAGGCATCCGGGCCCCCATTCCTGCTCCATCCGCTGGGCCACGCCACCTCCTTTAAAAGCTCTTGTTTCCTACCGAAGCAACCACCCAAGGAAGCTGCTTCCTGCCTGGCTGAGGGGAGCAGGGAAGGTCCCTGGAGCTGTCAGGACGCGTCGGGGAGGCTGGACTTTCTGGTTCCCTGACTCACTGTGAGTGACACTGATCTAGCCGTGCCCTTCCCCTCCCCAGCCCAGGCAGCTGCCAGTGTGAGCTAGAGACTTGAAACAGCCTCAGCTCCCCGGCCCTAGTGTTGGACACGAGCCCGGGAGGGGAAGGAACCGAAGCCACGTCTGGGAGCAGAGTGAACCCAGGAGCCAGCCCCTCCAGCTGGAGCTGGGCTGGTCATTCCAATCCAGTGGGCCCAGAGGCCACCCCAGGACGTCTCCGATGGGCACCGGACACTGGGCAGCGAGTCCATCCACCCAGCGCTGGGGAGATCTACCGGGGGCTTAGCTGCCAATGGATGATGCTGGCCGAAGGTCTGCGCTAATTCTGCCCATGCCCTCTGACCTCAGCCCTAGGAGAGGTAATTTCGCTGGAGAATAAGCAGCTAGGTCCCGCTCTGCAGGGATCCGAGGCAGAGCTCGGGGGGCGCTGGACCCAGGGGGAGCGGCTCTGCGTTGGGTGCTGAGAGCGGAATCTCTTCTACGGTGGCGCCAGGCAAGGGGATCCGGGAGGGGGGATAGAGAGGGGACTTGAAGGGGCTTCCACTCTCTGCTAGAAACACGGGGCAGGAGGGCACTTTCATAGCTGGTACTCGAAGGGAGGGTTTGTTTGTTTTCTTTCTTCTTTTTAAAAATCCCTCCTCCCCCCAGTGCACCCCCGCAGCATCAGGCACTGGGTCCTGTCCCTCGCTAGCACGTGGTCTGTGTGTACAGCTTGGGGTCTGGGCGTCGCCTTCCTGGTCTACGGGCCAGTCCTTGCTGGCATAAGCGCCCTGCAGTTACCCCAGGGCTGCACTTGTGCCCCCCCGCCCCGGTTTATTAGCTGCCGTTTATGCAGACGAGAGAACAAGGTTCAAAGTTGCAAGGTGGGGTGAGGCTGCCGCTCGGCGGAGTAACAAACAGCTCAGGCTGGGGAATACCTCTCTTGCCCAGCGCCGGGACAGTAGGGCCTAGCCGGGGCACTGGGGGTGGGCACCGAGGCATGTTCCTACCCTGCCTCCGGCTGCATTTCAGGAGTTGGGGAGGTTCTAGGGTGGGCAGGGGCCGGAGTGGCTGTGAGCACGGCCAGGGTCAGCGCAGGGTGGGATCATTTCCCGCCCCACGCCTCGTCCCCGGGGGAGCCGCACGAGCGCAGCGCCCCACGTTTCACAACCTCCTATTTCCCCACCGTTTCCAGCAACAGGCGCAACGTCTCGGCTTAGCGGCTGCGGGTGCTGCAATCTGGCTGGGGTGAGGAGGAGGAGGAGGAGGAAGGGTTGTGTGTGGAGCCAGCGTTGGGGCCCGGATCAGCCTGTCACTTAGCTGTCGGTGGCTTTCGAGCTCCACTCTCTGGAGGACGTGGGGAATTTGCCACCTTCTGGGAGTCCCTGATGCAAATGCCGGCCTCTGTTTTTAAGGCCCGGCTTGACAAAGCCCTGGCTGGGATGATTTAATTGGGGATTGGTCCTGCTTTGAGCAGGGGGTTGGACTAGATGACCTCCTGAGGTCCCTTCCAAGCCTGATATTCTATGAGTCTATGATTCTATGACCCAGCCCCCAACAGCGCCCGGCAATTCTGCTAGGTGTTTCTGAAATGCTGGGGCTGCCCGGCTCACGTGAGGGAGGGGCCAGAAGGCCTGATCTGAAGCCCCCCGGGGATGTCAGTGGAAAAGCTCCCACTGTCTTCAGCCAGCTTTGGATTGGGGCTTGGATCTGGCCCAAAATATCATCAAGGCCAGTAACACACATTCCCCAACCCTTTGGGGAGGGCGAGCGGGATCCGGGCAGCTTGGCCATATGGTCTCCATAAAGGGCTCCCCGCCCCCGAAAAGAGCGTGAGAAATGAGTCGAGCGACGGGGGGGGGGGGGGGGGGGGGGGATCAGGTTGCGGGAGCGAGGGGAGGGATGGCAGAGAGGGGCTCAGGATGTGATGAGGACAGGAACGCTTTGTAAGCATCGGCTGGGGGGGGTCCTGCCCCGGACACCACTACAGGAAGAATTAGTCTGGGTGCAAAGACACCACCCATCAGCACCAACCTGAGCTAAAAGAGCTGCCCCATCAACTGGCAGCAGCAGTAGGCTCTTATCTTGCATGTGGACTGGAGGGGACACGCGTGACACGCCCACCCAGTATAAGGGGCGTGGCTGGAGCGCTGTGAGCTCTTCTTTGATTCCCAGGGCCCATAGAGGGCAGAGCATAAGTTAGAGCAGCCTTGAGGCTGCTCCAACTGATACAGGGGGAGCCCGCACAATCCCAGAACATGAGGGGTGCAAAGGCTTAACGGCACCTCCCGCATCCATCTTGTCCCAGCAGCAGGAGCCGAACCGCCGAGAATCAAGCCCCGAGAGGCTTCTCCTCGGCAGCTCCTGCCGCCTGGCTCAGCCTCCCGGTATCACTGTGGCCCCATCCCAGCCCTGCTCTCAGGTGGAGAGGCTCCTTTCCTCCCTGACGCTGCGGCTGCCTGCGGGGCTCCCGTGATGGCACGAAGGGGCAGAAAGCACTGTCCCTGGTGAAACATGACTGCGCACGGCCCTCTCCCCAGCCTAGCGCTTCCGCTGCAAATGGGAGGCTGGGGCTGGTTCTCTTTCGTGTGGTTACCTCGCTCGCTTCAACAGTCTCTTCCCCTCCCTCCCCACCCTGCTTTCTTGACAGCTCAAGAGCTGGGGCCGGGTCCCTGCAGATTTCACCGAAGGCCTCACCCTTTGACGATAACCAGCCATGCCCGACCGGGCGCTCTGCCTCCTGTGCAGTTTGGTGATGCCTGCCGCCTTCCTGTGCGCAGATCTGCTTCCCAGGGTCACCTTCCCAAGAGGTGAGCAAAGGAGGATGCGGGGGGGGGGAGAAAGAAGGATGGATGGATGAGAAAGCAAGAAAAGAGGGGTGGTGGGAAGGAAGGAAGAAAGGAAAAGAAGAGTGCAAAGACAGACAGATGGGCCTGGACAGACAGAAGGCAGAGAGACTAAATAAAACGGAGAGAGACCGTTGGAAGGAGGAAATGAAAAAGGGGTTAAAGGAAGAGAAAGAGAGAGCTGCTCCCCTCTGAATCGCCCGCTGTCAGCCTCCCAGGCCCGGGGAGGGGCACGGGGCACCGGTAGAGAGAGAGGCTCCTTGCCTGTAGCCGGGACTGGGGGGGTGAGAAATGGCGGGGAGCGAGGGGGTGCGTCTCACGTCTCCCTGTCGACGCGGCACATGTAAAGAGCAGGGCTTTGGTCTCGGAAGCTGCTTTTCCCCTGCGAGGGGAGAAGGGGATTAGGGTAACCAGATGTCCCGATTTTATAGGGACAGTCCCGATTTTTGGGTCTTTTTCTTATATAGGCTCCTATTACCCCCTACCCACTGTCCCGATTTTTCACATGTGCTGTCTGGTCACCCTAAAGGGGATGAAGGCAGGTGCTTCGGAGGGAGGCTGGGGCAGGGGAAGATGTGAGTTCAGATCCTGAACTCTACCGCCACAGCCTGGCTTGGGGCTATACAGGACTGGCTGCCAGGACACCTGGGTTCTATTCGCCGAGCTGCCGCAACGGTGCTACGTGACTGGCTGGCTCTCTGTACCTCGGGGTTCCCATCAGGGGCAACAACGGTGGGATTCACAGTCGGGAGAGTAGGAGATGATATAGACCAGGGGTTCTCAAACTGGGAGTCGGGCCCCCTCAGGGGGTCGCAAGGTTATTACATGGGGGGCCGTGAGCTGTCAGCCTCCACCCGCTTTGCTTCCAGCATTTATAATGGTGTTCAATATATAAATAAGTGTTTTTAATGTATAAGGGGGCTCGCACTCAGAGGCTTGCTAGGTGAAAGGGGTCACCAGGACAAAAGTCTGAGAACCCCTGATATAGACCGAAGGAGCAGCTGTCAGCACACTGAGGAACTGGGTCCCAGTGGCTTGAATGGGCCTGAGTTCAAATCCCAGATGGGCCCAGTTTTCCTACCCCAAGGATCTGGCCTGGGAGTCTGACGTGCTCTAGCTAGCCTGCCCTGGGCAAGAGGTCAGAGTAGATTATCACAATGGTCCCTTTGGGCCGTGGTGACGTGAGTCTTCCCACCAACTTTGGATCGGGCCCCGCTTGCACAAAACGAACGCATTCTTCCTTTTCCAAACCCAGAGGCAGTAAACGCCAGAGCGCTGGGGAATGCTTATAATTACCCCGGCCTTTGCTGGCACCCTGTGAAAACAAATTCCAGCTGCAGCCTCTCTAGCGAGCAGCCGTCTATTAAACCCGATCGCCTTTCAGCTCCTTCTGAAAAGAAAAGAAATATCACGCGATTTCCACTGAGCTGGGAAGGGGCTTGTTGGGTGGGGGAGACGGACCTGATTTAGGATTGGAGATGAGAAGAGCTAAATACGGCCGACTTGGCTAGAGAGGAAAAGCATCTAACGAGCACTTGAATGTCAAGGAAACAGGATGGTTCGAGAGGGTTTAGAGGATCCAATCTAGGTGCTGCATAGACACCATGAGAGACAATCCCTGCCCTGGATATCTTATAACCTAAATAGGCAAGACAGGTGAAGGGTGGGAGAAAGGAAGGATTGTTCGCCCAGCTTGACAGATGGGAAACTGAGGCATGGAGACATTAAGGCCCAGATTCCCAAAGGCGTTTAGGCACCTAACCCATGGGAGTTAGGTGCCTAAATATCTTTGTGGATCTGGACTGAAGCGAGTTGCTGAAAGCCAGGGATAGACCCCCCTGAGTCCACATCCAGTGCCGGCATTACAGAATCCTTGCTCCGAGCAACGGGAAATAAAGCAAAGGAACATGCAGGCTGAATATCAGGCCGTGCTTCCTAATAACAGGAGGCAGGGTTGTAATTAGAGGAGTTGGAATTTGTCCAGAATAAAATCATGAGCCTGATTCTCCCTCTGGCTCTTTTTCCTTATTCTAGCAGAGTAAAAGGGGCCTCAGAGTGGTGTGTAAATGACATGGGCTCTCGGGTTATGCTGCCAGAGTAGTGAGAGTCAGGCCTCCCCTCCCCCCCCGCATGTTTTAATAAAACAATTTCCCTTCCCTGTGGTGGGTTATTAAATCAATAAGAGTTTTGCAAGATCTAATTTTCTTATTTCACCCTTTGGTTTGGTTTTGTTTTTTTGCTTCAGCGCTGGAAATAGACAAATCACTTGGGCTTTGGGATCTAGTCAGTTTCTGTTCATGGGAGGGTGGGGCTGAACTAGATGATCTTGCCAGGTCCCTTCCAGCCGTACAGCGCTGTGAGTCTCTGGAGCTCACATCCACAAATCCTAGGACGTGGCTGCAATTTGGGATGCAAGTGCCACAGGGGATTTCTTTTGTCTGTTTGCTTTCGATGTATCTAAATAAACAATCATGGCCAGTGAAGCGTTTCCGGTGCTCTAAGGCCTTCTGGAAACGTGTTTATAATATTCTAGGCTGAAGCTGCATCCCCTTGTCAAGCCTTCACCCTTGCAAAAACACTGCGGGATCTTCAATGACCACAAACGATCCGGACCGCGTTATTTCTGTCTCATCCTTCTGGCAGCTCAGCGCCCCCTAGCACCACGTTGAGGTGGGCCCAGAGGGGAGAGCGCCCCCTGCTGAGTCCCCACCCTGCCCCCTGCAGCACCCTGCTGGGGCATTGGGGTCAGCACTGGCTCCGAGGGAAAAGCGCCCCCTACTGAGTCACCAGCAGTCGCAGCCTTCTTCTTTCCCACCCACCCTCAGCCTGCTGCTGCTGAGAAAAGGGCACGCTCTTCCCCCAGGCCCTTTGTAGGGTCCTGCCAGCCGCAGTGCCGGCTCCAGGGACATTTCCACTGCATATGCTGGCTGCTCCTTCTGCCAGTGTTCATACAGCATATGGGGCCTGATCTATGGGATTAACATGCTACATTACATAGGCACTAAGTTGCAGTATCTATGTTATGTTACAGTATATAGGTGCCAAGTTGTGGCCTATACATGCTACATTACGGTATGTAGGCTCTAAGTTACAGTGCGTGTATATAGATAGATAGATATGCTGTGTTTCAGTATATAGGTGCTCTGTTACAGTACATGCATTTATTATTTATCTGCATTATCTCCAAGAGGCCCTCACGGAGATCAGAGCCCCATTGTGCTAGGAGCTGTACATACACACAGTGAGAGCCAGGCCACGCCCTGTGGTGTTTCCATACACAAGGCAAACCAAATGTGGGAGGGGAAGTGATTTGCTCCAGGTCACCCAGTGGGTCTTCAGCAGAGCCTGGTCTAGAATCCAGATTTCCTTTGTCATAGTCCAGACCCTTCACCACTATACCACATACATGCTCTCTTATGGTACATGCATATGTGTTATGTTATGGCATATAGATGGTTATGGTATTCATCTAAGTTGCTATATAGATGCTATGTGACAACATATACATGGTAAGTTGTGATATATTTGCCAGAAGCTGGGAATGAGCGACAGGGGATGGATCACTTGATGATCACTTGTTCTGTTTATTCCCTCTGGGGCACCTGGTACTGGCCACTGTCGGAAGACCAGATATTGGACTAGATGGACCTTTGGTCTGACTCAGTAGGGCCATTCATATGATCGATGCTGTGTTACAACACACACATGTTATGTAGAGTTTTGTGGGAAGTTACGTTTCTGGTTTTAGCAGGACGTTCCGCCATTTCAAAATTGGTTTTTGTTCCGAATGGGAATGAAACGTAGAGTTTCAACAATTCCTGCTAAATGAATTTTTTTTTAAATTGTTTTGAGTCAATTGATTTTGATTTTTTTAAATCCTATCAAATAAATTGTGAAACAAAAAAACCCCCAGAGCATTCTGTTCCATGATCAAAACGCTTTGTTTAGGTGATTTTCATCAAAAAATGAAATTCTGTGGAAATCAACGTGTTTCCGACAAAAAAAAAAAATTCTGTTGGAAAAAAATTTCAACCAACTCTAATGCTATTCTGTACAGGTGCCACTTTACATATATGGTGCTGAGTTATGGAGTAGAGGTGCCAAGCTATGGTATATAGGTGCCACTCTACAGTATGCGGGTGCTACATGATGGGATATTGGTGCCTCTTTATGGTATGTAGGACCCACGTTATGGTACACCTCAACCTCGATATAACGCGACCTGATATAACACGAATTCGGATATAATGCGGTAAAGCTGTGCTCCGGGGGGCGGGGGGGGGGGGCGGGACTGCGCACTCTGGTGGATCAAAGCAAGTTTGATATAACGCGGTTTCACCTATAATGCGGTAAGATTTTTTGGCTCCCGGGGACAGCGTTATATCGAGGTAGAGGTGTATATAGGTGCTAAGTATCATATACCATGCACTGTTCGATCCCTGCCAGGAGACCCCCGGAGGACCCTAACCAGCTTCAGCCAGGACGGAATCTTCAACTATGATACTTTCCTCTTGAGCGAAGACGAAGGCACTCTGTACGTGGGAGCTCGAGACACCATCCTCTCCCTCCGGGTGGACAGTGCTGGGTCCATGAAGCTGACGGGCTCAGTGAGTAGAGCTCGGCCTTCCCCAGAGAGTGGGGAGCATTTGGGGTGCAGGAGGGAGGAAGGCTGATCCAGGGGGTGGGGCAAGTGGAAGTCAGACCTGGGTTCTGTTCCTCCTCCCCGTGCCTCAGTTTCCCCATCTGGAAAGTGAGGATAATGGTACTCAGAGGCGAGGAATTGTGAGATGTAATTCATTAATGTTGGTAAAGTGCTTTGAACCTTAAGCGGAAGCCTCTAGAGAGAATAGAACTGAAGAGTCCTGACTCCCTAACCCCCTTGCTCTGACCACTAGACCATATTCCCCTCCCTGAGAATTTTGCTCTCAGCAGCTTCCTTTCCTTCCAGTGCACTATTACAGGCTCTTGACCTTTTCTCCAGGTGGAAACTTCCTCCCAACCATTGAAGAATCTCTCTCTTTCCCCCCCTTACAGATAGTGTGGCCACCTGTGCTTAAAAAAAAAGAGGAGTGTGTCTTTAAGAAGAAAAGCAATTTGGTAAGGAGAGGGGGAGACGCTGGTGCTGGTGCGGGCTGTATTATGCCCCTCGAGGGCGCAGTTAGTCTTGGCGTGTCTATGGAGGGCATGGAGAGCTGGTGACAATGCTGAGAGGTGGGTGCTGGGGTGGGTGGGTGCTTTGCGGTGCCGTGAGAGGTGATACCAAGCGAGGTGCAATTCCTGAGCCTGGCTTCTCACTCCCACACCTTGAACAGGAAGCGGTAGGGCTTGCCGGTGGACTCGGTGGCCTTCTTCTCAGGGTCTCAGCCTGAGGTGCTGTGCTGTGCTTGAGGTCTTTTAAAACATCCCACGCAGGGGGGTGATAATTCTGGTGTCCTGGCCAACTCTTCCTTTGCCTCCCTAACTTCCCCTTGCAGCTCAGTTCGGTCGTGTTCTTCTTCTCCTAAACCCGTTGTACAGCTATCACGCTCCACTCTAGAGGTGGCTGTTTTTTAGGGCTGGGCGAGTGCAGCATTGCTATGTGCTGTTGAACAGCTGTTAAGTCCCACCCCAGAAGTGGCTGCATTTTAATGCTGGGTAAATAATCGCTGTGCGGTGTTGCTGTGTGCTTTTGAAGCAGCAGCCACGCTGTGACCCAGAGGTGGCTGTATTGTAGTGCTGAGCAGGATACCTGTATAGTGTTGCTGTGTGCTATTGAACTGCAGCCAAGTCCCACCCCAGAGGTGGCTGCATTTTAATGCTGGCTGAGCCATCCCTGTGCAGTGTTGTCATGTAGTTTTGAAACTGCTGCCACCCCAGAGGTGGCTGCATTTTAATTATGGGTAAGTGACCCCAGTGAGATGTTGCTGGGGGCTGTTAAATCACTGCTGCATCCCACCCCAGAGGTGGCTGCATGTCAGTGCTGAGCATAGTGATCCTGTTATATGCAGCCTGTGAAGCAATCTGAAATCTAAGCTGTTCTTTTAAGTGGCGTGTTCTTTTCTCCCACAGACAGAGTGCTTCAACTTCATCCGTGTCCTGGTGCCAGTGAACCAGACTCACCTGTACACCTGTGGGACCTACGCCTTCAGCCCCATCTGCTCTTACATTGTGAGTGTCTGGTCTGGGTTGGTGGGAAGCTCTGACTCCAGCACCCGGTACAGCGCTTCAGAGCCTGCAAAGGGTTTGGTTCCGGAAATGGGCCAAGAGGCAGGGCTGGTCTGTGATTGCCACTGAGGCTGCTGGACACAGAGAGACCTTGTGATTCTCTCTGGCCCTCCAGTTCCCCAGACTGCGCTGTGCAGGGTTACCACATGGGGTCTCCCTAAATCCTGACCCGGACTGGCGGGACACAGAAGGGGTTTAGGGCCAGATCGGCAAAGGGGTTTAGGCGCCTAACGATGCAGCTAGGCACCTATTGGGATTTACAGTAGCACCTTTGTCCCATTGGTCTTCAAAGGGAGTTAGGTGCCTAAGTGCATTTGAAGATCCCAATATATGCCTATTTGTATCTTTAAGCACTTAAACACTGGGAAATCTGGCCTTTATTGACCACCTCGTCGAGGCAGTGTGTGAGGAGAGAGGAGAGCAAGAGAGCAAAGAGGGCGGACTCAGGACTCCTGGGTTCTATTTCCAGGTCGGAGAGGTAGTGTGGTCTAGTGGTCAGAGCGAGTGGGGGCGGAGTCAGGACTCGCGTTCTAGTCTCCATAGACGAGGCTTTGCTGCCCTCTGTTGGCTCTGTGTGTACGTTGAGGAGCCTCCTATATTTTCTGGTTATTTCCCTTTCCAAATGAAAGGCCCGGGTTTACGGGAAAAGTGGTGAGTTTACAGGAACCCGGGTCAACATTTTCAAAAGTGGCCTCTGATTTTCTCAAGTTGGAGTCACCAGACGAGAGAACTCGTCTGAGCTCTGGCCTGGCTTCTCCTCCAAAATTCAAGGGTGTCCTGATTTGCAGTTCCTGATTATTGGGGTTCCATTAGTATTATAATTTGACTTTATTGGGGTTATATTATGAATGTGGCGTAGTGGCTGTAGCCCTGGGCTGGGTCTCAGAAGACCGGGCTTCCATTCCTGGCACTGCCACTGGCCTGTGGGTGACCTTGTTGGTAAAACACGTCGATTATAATATAATAGAGAGAATTATCTTAATTATGAAAGTTGATTCCCCCCGCCCTGTGCCTGGAGTCTGGAAGGGATCTGGCTCTAGGCTGAACTCAAGTGACCACCATTCGGTTTGTTCTTGTTCTGCGACTGATTGATTGATCTTTAATTCCTCGTAGAATCTGGAGAATTTCAGCCTGGTTTCTGGAGGCCAAGGGGAGCCTCTCCTCCAGGATGGGAAGGGACAGTGCCCCTTCGACCCCCGCCACAAGTATACGGCCATCCTGGTGGGTGAGTACGGAGCTCTTTGGAAACCAGGGGCTGTGCAGGGACTGCGTGATGGGGAGGGAGGTGGAACCCGCTGCCCTACAGTGGTCGGCCCATGGACAGTTATGATGCCTCAAAGCAAAGGATTAGGTCTTGAGCTGAATCAGTCGAGTCACATGTCTTCGGTGCGGCAGCTCCCGGATGGGGCTGGCCTGAAAGAAACCTTTAAGGTCCTGCTGTCATCCTTCGATGCGCTGTGTGTAGATTTATCCCTCAATGCCCGGGTCACCCACTCTAATCCATCAGGGTAACGAGTCCTAGCTCTGGTACTTTTCCTACAGAGATCTCAAAGCGCTTTACCTCTCTCTGACTAAATAACCGAGCCCAGAGGCACCGGCACAGCTGCCGGTCCGGGCTTCCCTCACCACCTCTCTCCGCCTGCAGATGGTGAGCTCTACACGGGGACCATGAACAACTTCCAAGGAAGCGAGCCCATAATCTCCCGTGCCCTGGGCAGCAGGACCTTTCTGAAGACCGATACCTTCCTCAGGTGGCTGAATGGTGAGGAGGGGGTAGGAGGGCCTGCTCCTGCTGCTGGGAACGGGGTGGGGTGTGGGGAAGGGCAGGGGCTGAGGTAGCATCATAAATGGGCAGCTATCGATTTCAGATCTTCCAGACACGGGACCTGACTCTGTTACCCGGTGGGGTTGGGATGAGAGGCTGCAACACCCTTTGAGCTCTTCCTGCGCTGAGGCTGTGCTCAGCCTGGCTCCGGGGCCAGTTAGAGCAGCCTCGGGGCTGCTCTAATTTACACTGGGCTCCCCTTGGCCCCCTGCCGTCCCTGGGAAGCAGAGAATAACCACAGCATAAGGCACTGTACTCATGCCCACAATCTGCCCCCTAAGCCGGGGCGGGAGCAGCTCCACGCTGGCCAGGGAGAACCCTGCTCAGGAAGGATTCTCAGGGGACCAGTTCCCCCCACTTTAAGGCCCTTTAGCCACTTAACGGGGCCTCACATCAGTGAGAATCAGGCTCAGGGACTCTTTGCTCGAGTCGCCGTCACCTATTAGCCAACAGGCGAATGGCTGGTGCCCACTGGCCTCAGGGATGTGTTTCCTAGGCAACAAGCCCCCAGCCTCCCATGGATATTTACATGCCCCCCCATCTGCCCCTCGGGAAGCAGCACGCAGGGACTGGGCATCTAACCCGCCTGGTCTCCTTCCCCCCGACAGTCGACGCGGGCTTCGTGGCCTCAGCCAACATCCCTGGAGATGAGAAGGTCTATTTCTTCTTCGAGGAGACGGCCGAGGAGTTTGATTTCTTTGAGAAGCTCACGGTCTCCCGGGTGGCTCGTGTGTGCAAGGTATGAGGCTGGCCCGAGTTGGCTATGGGAGCGCGTGCGCTCCTATGTCCCGTACCCCGGCATTGTCGTCTCTCCTGCTTGTGGCCTGCCCCGGTGACGACAACTGACCCACCCGAGCCACAGGGCCTCTGTTCTGCCCTCCGTGGCATCTGGGCAGCTTGATTGCCTTCAGATCTGTGCCGGGGGCCTTGCATAGACGTAGACATTGACGAGGAATAAAATTCAGTTGCCCCTTCCCAGAGCTGGGCTCTAGCAGAAATCCGGGACAGTTCCGTTTGAATGAGAGGTGGCTGGTGTCACCCATTTATTTACAGATATAGACACATGCTGTCCCGATTCCCTGCTCTGCACCAGCCTGGAGCCCACGAAGGGGGGAGGGATAGCTCAGTGGTTTGAGCATTGGCCTGCTAAACTCAGCATTGTGAGTTCAATCCTTGAGGGGGCCATTTAGGGATCTGGGGCAAAAATCTGTCTGGGGATTGGTCCTGCTTTGAGGAGGGGGATGGACTAGATGACCTTCTAAGATCCCTTCCAACACTGATATTCTATGATTCTAACTGGCTGGCTGGCCTCCACTCCCTTTCGGGGTCACACTGCAACTGTGCCTGCAGCCACCCCCCTGCATTCGGACTCCATGTGGGTTATGGGGCAGCTTGAGCACCATCTATACATATCTATGTGGGGAACAAATATTTGATGGTGGGCTCTTCAGACTAGCAGACAAAGGTCTAACGCAAGCCAATGGCTGGAAGTTGAAGCCAGACAAATTCAGACTGGAAATAAGGCATCAATTTTTAACAGTGAGCGTAATTAAGGGTTGGAACAAAAGACCGAGGATCATGGTGGATTCTCCATCCCTGACCATTTTTAATTGGATGTTTTTCTAAAGGACCTGCTCTAGGAATTATTTTGGGGCAGCTCTCTGACCTGTGCTGTACAGGAGGTCAGGCTGGATGATCACAATGGTTCCTTCTGGCTTCGGAATCTATTAATCTCATATCTTAAAATGGCTCACTAGCCTCCTAACAGCCCGTTACCACTGTCTGGGTGGTTTCCTGCTTGTATCCACCTTTTTAGTTCCTCATTCCTCACTGGCTATGCACGAGGGCTTATTACAACATCATTGTCTGGAACATCAGCTGATCAGAGCCTGGTGGTTGGTTTACTCACCACAGCTGTACCACTAGAATTCCCCCTTTTTATTTTGAGCAGGGGATTGAGTTCGGGTCTCCCCACAGGGGCCACCCTTCCTCTCAGACCTTCCCTTCATTCAGAATAGCTCTTCCCCTGTTTGGAGCAGCATATACACCCCCTGCTGGCGGAGCTGTACCAGCGCAATGGCGGCATGGCTGCGCGCTGACCCCCAGGACAAGCCGTCCTCTCAGCCGTCCCTTTAAGGAGAGGCCCTGCTCCGTTCAGGGTGACCAGGCATTCCTCTCTCCTGCAGAATGACGTCGGAGGACAGAAGGTGCTGCAGAAGAAATGGACCACGTTCCTGAAAGCTCAGCTGACGTGCTTCCAGCCTGGACACTTCCCTTTCAACGTGATCCATCACTCCTTTGTCCTACCCCAGCCAGGAGGGGGCGCCGTCTTCTATGGAGTCTTCACCTCGCAATGGTAAGGCAGGAAACTTTCCTCTCCTGCCCAAAGGGCTCCGAAATCCCCCAAGGACCCACGTATTCCCAGGCTCGCACACCCACAAATCCCCTGGCTCTAACGCAAGAAGGACATTTGTGGGGAGGGGGCGTCTGTCCATCCTGCCCATTCAAATGGGTATGCTGTACCCAGAAAGTAGGACCCGTTCTGCGTTATGGTTCACCCTGAATATTTCATTATTGCAGAACATGTCATTAACCTGTGGAACTCCTTGCCACTTGGTATTGCTGAAGAAGTTGCTTAGTACATTTCAGAACTAAGAGATGAGACTGGTGTCTAGTGGTTAGAGCAGGTGGCTTGGGGTCAGGACTCCTGGATTCTAGTGCCACATCTAGGCGTGAGTGTGATTTAAGAGTTAGAGCACTGGGGACTGGGAGTTGGCATGCCTGGGTTCTCTGCCCAGCTCTAGGAAGGAGCATGGGCTAGTGGTCAGAGGAGGCAGGGGCTGGGAGTCAAGACTCCTGGATTCTGTTCATAGACAAGTGCCTGTCACTCCGGGGTGGTGAGAATTGATGCTTTGCAAGTGGATGGAGGCCCTGGGTGGAGGTCGCTGTGGAAGCGCCTGGCATTATTATTTCAGAAGGATCCAACGTTTATATGGCCAAGGAACAGCCCTTAGAGAGGGCCCCAAATGGGGTGGACTCCCCATGCCCACTCACCCACACGTCACAGGCAGGGTGTGGCTGGATCCCTCATCTGACCTGCCCACCTTCGGGGTCCCCCTAGCGCTGGCGTGTACCGCTAACAGGATCACTCGTCCCTTGGCAGGCAGATGGGAGACGCAGGCAGCACGGCGGTGTGCGCTTTCAACCTGGAGGACATCGAAAGAGTCTTCAGCGGGAAATACAAGGAGCTGAACAAGGAGAGCTCCCGGTGGACGACATACAGCGATGAGATCCCTGAGCCCCGCCCTGGCAGCGTGAGTATCACCTGCTTCGCGCCTCTAACGCCACGGCATGATGATGTGTGGGTCTGCCCCGAAGGATGACTTTGCAGGACACGGTTGGGGTTAAGCCAGGAGTCTGGGACTCAGGACACCTGGGTTCAATTCCTGCTGTTGTCACTGACTTTGGGCAAGGCACTTAACTTCTCCGTGCCTCAGTTTCCCTGGATAATAGACCATCTGCCTTGCTTTTTACAGGAAGCTGGCATAATCAGCTGTGCTTTTCCCCTTTGCAAGGGTGCGTAGAGCAAAAAAAACCAACCCTAAGCCGGTCACTAGCCCAGATCCCGCAGCTTCTGATCCCCTGCCTTTCTCCTCCCACTGCAGTGCTCGGTGCACCCATCAGCGGACAAAGTCCTGAGCTTCATGAAAAACCATTTCCTGGTGGATGAGAAGGTTGCGCCCAGGAACAAGCAGCCGCTGCTGGTGAAGCAGAACGTGAAGTATACGCGGATCGCAGTCGATCAAACCCACAGTGTCACGGGCACCTCCTATGAGGTGATGTTCCTGGGAACAGGTACGGCTCCCATGAGCAGGGGAAACCACCTCCTCGGTGCGTGGGGCTGGATTCTGCACCCAGCTGACGGTTTACCCAATGGTAAAGCTCCCATTGACATCAGTGGGACGGAGACAGGCACTTATCGCCGGAGTCAGACGAGTAATTCGTTTTCCGGTGATTAACCTGAAAAATTAAGAAAAAATTCATTTCGGGTGGACCGGAAATGAAACGTTTGGGGGTTTTGGATGAAACTAAAGAGTTAAAAAAAAATTTGTTTCGTTTTTGAGACTTTTGGGAAAAAATGAAATTGAAAATTCAAAACAAAAATTTAAACATTTTGACTATTTTGTTGTTGTTGCCAATTTGTGTATTTGTTATTTTGGAATTTGTGTGTTAGGAGAGCAGGGGGGTGTTTCACCCCATTTTACCGGCCAGTCTCAGCTCTGTTAATTGCACCCTGCCCATTGCATTTTCAGTTAGGTATGGCTCTTCTTCACTTGCTGTCCTGTGCATTGTTAAACACATTTACTGCTCTTCACCCCAGAGGTGGCTGCATTTAATGGTGGACAAACTGGTTTGTATAAGCCTGACAAGGTTGGTGCCAGCCAGCTAACAAAGTGCTTTGGAGGCATACTGGGGCAAAAGGCCCTGTATAAACGAAGGATCATTCTCTTTTAATTAAGCAAATTGTATGAGAGAGAGAGAGAGAGAGAATTGAATAGACTAGCCATTTAGATCCAGATACTCAACTTCCACTGAAATTAAGAACTTAAATACCTTTGTTACGCACAGTCAGTTTAGAGAAGAGATCAGCTCCTCAAAGAGAGGATGCATTATCTCAGCCCCATGGTAAATACACTTGTGTCCCTATATTTCCTCCCACAGATCAAGGGTTCCTGCACAGAGCAGTGGCTCTGGCCAGCGGTACTCACATCATTGAGGAAATCCAGCTGTTTAAGGACCCGGAACCTGTGCAGAACCTTCTGTTCTCACCTGGGAAGGTAGGAGACCTACAGATCTGCTTGGTGCAGCAAACAAGAAGGGGAGACGCTGCCCCATGTGCAGCCGGGCGGTGCTAAGTAGGTGACGTAGATGTGACATTTTCTGTGGGTCTCCCCCCTGCAGGGGATCCTGTATGTGGGGTACTCCAAGGGGGTGCTGCAGGTGCCGCTGGCCAACTGCAGCGTGTACAGGAGCTGTGCTGACTGTGTCCTCGCCCGAGACCCCTACTGCGCCTGGGACAGGCACAGCCAGTCATGCCAGGAGACCCGAGGCACAAACAAAAACACGTGAGTAGCTCAGTGTGTGGAACAGCTCCGGCGTAACCTCCGAGAGGGAGGCAGCCATGTCTGGTGGTTAGAGCAGAGCCTGGCGAGTCAGGGTTCTATTCCCTGCTCTGGGAAGAGAGTGGGCTGTAGTGGTCAGAGGCAGGGGGCTGGGAGTCAGGACTTCTGGCTCTGTTCCCAACTTAGGGCATTTCTGGGCCTCGGGGAGTGGTGGGAGTGGGGAGGGTGAAAAGCCCCTAGTGTTCCCTAGCCCGAAGGCCCCGCCCACCAGGAATACAGCCCTACGGTGTTGTTAACGCGCTTCGCTAGCGCTGATGGGCATTCCACGGGCACCACGCTCTCAGAGCATGTGCCACTGGCCAGTCGCCTGTGGCCTCGATATAAATCCACGGTACGCCCACATCTGGAATACTGTGTGCAGATGTGGTCGCCCCATCTCAAAAAAGATATATTGGAATTGGAAAAGGTTCAGAAAAGGGCGACAGAAATGATGAGGGGTATAGAACGGCTTCCGTAGGAGGAGAGATTAATAAGACTGGGACTTTTCAGTTTGCAAAAGAGTCGACTAAGGGGGGATATGACAGAGGCCTATGAAATCATGACTGGTGTGGAGAAAGTAAACAAGGAAGTGTTATTTACTCCTTCTCATAACACAAGAACTAGGGCTCATCAAATGAAATTACTAGGCAGCAGGTTTAAAACAAACAAAAGGAAATATTTCTTCACACAATGCACAGTCAGACTGTGGAATTCTTTGCCAGAGGATGTTGTGAAGGCCAAGACTATAACAGGGTTCAAAAAAGAACTAGATAAGTTCATGGAGGATAGGTCCATCAATGGCTATTAGCCAGGATGGGCAGGGATGGTGTCCCTAGCCTCTGTTTGCCAGAAGCTGGGAATGGGCGACAGGGGATGGATCATCTGATGATTCCCTGTTCTGTTCATTCCCTCTGGGGCACCTGGCATTGCCCACTCTCGGAAAATAGGATACTGGGCTAGATGGACCTTTGGTCTGACCCAGTCTGGCTGTTCTCATGTTCTTATGTCCTGGGACCTAAGGGAGGACTTGAACCCAGCTCCTCAGGGCGAGCCCAGCAACCAGCTCACCTGCCGTCCCCACGTCAAGCAGCGGCTTGAGAGCGACTTCATTGCCTTGGGTTCTCAGTGTGTCACTTCTCCCTCTCTAGGAGTGACTGGCTGCAGGACGTCGAGACGGGTAGACCGGGGGCTACGTGCCAGCAGCTCAGTGGGAGAGGCAGGGCCACACCCAGGTCTCGGGACGACTCGGGCAGCAGCCTGGTAAAAAGTTGAGTATCGACCTTCTGGGTTTACTGTGCTTGGGGCACGTGTCTGCCGGCGGGTGGGGCTCTAAGCCTGCAATGCTACGAGGGGGGCTGGGGAGGCCCCGCTGCAAGCCAGGGTGGGCTGCCTGCTCTAGGGAGGAGCTGGATCCGGGGAGGAACGAAGGGGGCCACGCTCAGTGCTTCTGAGGCATGGCGTCTCTGGTGGGCTTTGGCCCTGCTTTGCAAACAGCGCGGAGCAAATCCCATGACAAACGCTTCAATCAAAAATAATGTCACCAAGGCAGCGCTCAGCCCAGTAATAAATAACACGTCAGGGTGCCAGCCCCCCTAGACCACCTTACATCACCACCCCAGGGTGCCAGCCCCCCTAGACAACCCTACAATACCACACCAGGATGCCAGTACCCCCGGACAATGCTACAACACCATGCCAGGGTGCCAGCCCCCCTAGACAATCCTACAACACCACTCCAGGGTGCTAGCCCCCCTAGACAATCCTACAACACCACTCCAGGGTGCCAGCCCCCCTAGACCACCTTACATCACCACGCCAGGGTGCCAGCACCCCCAGACAATCCTGCAACACCACGCCAGGGTGCCAGCCACCCTAGACAACCCTACAATGCCACTCCAGGGTGCCAGCACCCCCAGACAATCCTACAACACCATGCCAGCCACCCTGGGCAACCCTACAACACCACGCCAGGGTGCCAGTCCCCTGGACAACCCTACAATAACAAACTGTACAGTTCCCCCTCTGTGCCCAATCCACTGAGGATTAGAGGCTGTTATGGTGCTGGGAGCTTTAGCTCACACTACAGCAGCTCGTGCTTTTAGCTCTGGAGGTCCCCACTGGTGCATCAGCCAACATGGCAGCCATCCCATGGTCTGATACAGCGGCCGCCCCTGGCTAGCAAATCTCCCGGTTCCTGGCCAAAAGTTGCTATTAATTGAAAGTTGCCAGTAAGCTCTGAGGTGTGCCTTCCCCGGCTGCAGCCCCGTAACTCTGCCTGCAGCCGGCGCTCAGCGTGCCCCAGCGCTTCCTTTCCTGGCTGCAACTCGGAAAGGAAGC